CGCGATGGACCTCAGCATGATCGCTGTCGCTCTGACACCGTCATGATTAGTATGAATTTTTAACAGTTATGCCAGTTTGGTTATATTTTTCATCATTCCCGTTTTTTCTCTGTTTTGTTTTTGAACACGAAACTTATACACTATACGAGTGTTAGCTGTGTTTGATTGTATTACCGTAGGTAAGCTTGCAATCTAACTGAGCGTGAAAACTTTAAAACTCGGACTGTCCATTTTGTTTTCCCTTTGGGGATTTCCGTCTCTGCTCACGTTACAATAACGTAAATAACTGCGCCTGGTATTTTTCCAAACCTTTGCTCGCTTGTTCCGAAATTTCACTTTCAATTAAAGAAAGAAAAGCTAGAAAGAAGTCCCGGAAAAGGTCGGATATAGTACAATTTGGCAGATGGCGTGACAGCTGTAGTTCAGTTCTATGCGCTATACTCTCATAGAGCACGCTCTTTTAACCAATGACAGCACGCGTGATATCCGAACTTTATTATAATTAACAAATACAGGAGCCTTGACTGTGCTCTGTTCTGTTATTAAGCACGCAGGAAGCGGCTAGAGCACGAAAGAAGTGCAGGGAGAAACACGAGACGTAGACTCGTGTTTCTCCCTACACTTCTTTCGTGCTCTAACCGCTTCCTGCGTGCTTAATAACAGAACAGAGCATAGTTAAGGCTTCTCTATTTGTTTTATAATAAAGAATCCATTAAATTCTCCAAGCAATACTTTCAAAACAAACTTTATTTCCAAAGGGAACAACAGTGCGATAGTTTACAAACTGAAATAGTTCGGCAGGTCGAATTTAACACTTTTTCCTGAAGTTTTTAAGTCTCTTATACAGAATCTTGGAGTGAAATGTGCAGTGAAATTCAGCCGAATTATGGCTCATAAAAACACGCGAGTTTTTTCATATGACAATGTAGAAAACAGACTGTGCAGGTCGAGTGCTTTTTGAATGAACGACAGCCGAATTCACCGGAACATGAAGATCGCTCGGGATGACAGCGCCGAAAAACTGCAGTGACTGATGTGACTTTCTACTCAACGCATCGGAAAGGATATCAGAGCAAGCTTTTTTCACTCGAAGGGCGGCCGATGTAGTTTCTGAGGCTTGCTTTACTGTGATGACCGGAGATCGCCATGATGAGCGAGTCGCGATGGACTTCAGCATGATCATATTCGCTCAGACACCGTCATGATTAGTATGAATTTTAACAGTTATGCCAGTTTGGTTATATTTTTCATCATTTCTTTTTTGTTCTGTTTTGTTTTTGAACACTGAACTCTATATACTATATGAGTGTTAGTTGTGTTTGATATTTATTGCCGTACGTGAGATTGCAATCTAACTGAGCGTGAAAATCTTTAAAACCCGGAATGTCTATTTTGTTTTTCCTCTAAGGATTTTTGTATCTGCTCACGATTTAATAAAGTAAATCACGGCGCCTGGTATGTTTACAAACGTTTGTTTGGTTCTTTTGTTGCTACTTGCCGACTCGCTTGTTCCGAAATTTCACTTCAATTTCAATTATCGGGAAAAAGCTAAAAAGAAGTCCCGGAAAAGGTCGAATATAGTACAATTTGGCAGATGACGTGACAGCTTTAGCTCAGCTCTATGCTCTATTTAACAAATAGATTCCAAGTTGCCGCGGGTCTGTTTAGTAATAGATCACAGAGGACGTCAAAATGTGATAAGAACAAAAAAGTGGCAGATGAAGCGCAGCCGAGTGTGTCACTGATATCTTTGTTAGTGATTGAGCGCAGATATCTTTGTTAGTGATTGAGCGCAATGCATTCTGAAACGATTCGAAAGTACAGAACTTGACCATATAAAAAGTAGAAAGTTGACCACATAAAAAGTCGAGTTGACCATATAAAAAGTCGAGTTAGCCATTTAAAAAGTAAAATTTGATCTTATTAAAAGTATAAAGTTGACTACATAAAAACTAGATTTGACCATATAAAAAGTAAAAAACTGAACGTATAAAAAGTCGAATTGACCACGTAAAAAGTAAACTGGGTAAGGGAAATACAGGGGGAATATTGACTGGTTTGGCACCCCACATATTACTGTATGTATGTAAAGTATAGGACATGATATGTAATTAGTAGATGATAATTCCCCATATGTGACATACGAAGGTGCTGCATGAAGATACCGCTGACCAGCATGCGTGTTGATCGCTTTGCAAGCTCCCTAAATCCCCTTGGAGGAACTCTTCTATAGCCAGTGCTAAAGAGTTTTCTTACAGTTTTTTGATAATGACGGGCTGGAAAATAAACTAACTAGAGCTGCGCCTTTTAGGGTTGGTTAAATCTATATATTATGCACTGTTTTGTCAAGGACTTCGCCTTGTAAGCAGGGTTTTTATTGGAAGCCGGGTCCCGGGTACCGGCACCCGTCTACTTTAAACAGAGTTCCCGGCTACTTAAAGCACCAAATTAAAAAAATAAAATAGTTATGAAAAAAATTATCAACTTCAACTCAATTTTAACTCTTCCCTGTACGTTTAACGCATTTTTTCTGCACTTATTTATCGATAACTTGCGATCAGATTGTGGAAATAAAATTTACTCTGATGAGAAAGGCGCTGCGCGATAATAGGGACCTTAAGCAAACCACGCGACGGCAACGAGGACATGGAAAAACAAAAGATATAATAGGCAGAACAATAGCTCAGCACGTGCGTTTGTACATTTCTGAGCCGTACAATGCAAAACAACAATGTGAAATCCCCACAATTTGCGTCGTCTGTGAACCGAAACCGCGACGGCAAATTATTTTAATTTCTAGTTGGACCTCAACACTTCTTTGATACGCTATGCTGAAGTTGAGGTGTGGCACCGTATGAGACGGTAAACACATGCAGCCATTTTTGAAATTCAAATTATAGGCAGTAATTCATTTTTTAAACGAAGTCTTCCTTGGCGTTGCCGTCCTGACTGCTTAAGGTCCCTAATAGCGTTCTTAGAACTGTCTCTTTCTAAAGTGCCTAATTAGCTATGAAATAACTCTTAAACGTGACGTGCCATAAAATCGAGTGCGTTCTGCGGAGTGATCGTGGCAAGCAAAAGTAAAACTCACGCAAGCACTCGTTTGCACATGAAAAGTCAAGAGCGATGACCTAAAAAATTAAATTTATGTTTTAGTTGGATTACAGCCGTGAAAAGGGTTTTCGAAAAATTACGTACGCTATCTATGCTTTCCATCATTTAAACTCTTCATAAAACACTTTTTATTTTTCTGAAATAAAATTCAGAATATAAAATAAACATCAGGAGACGAATGTCGCCGTAAAAGATGCTTATCAGCTGACACGGCCTCTTAGTAAGCCAACATTTAGCTGACTTTTAAGCTCAAATATTCCGAGCAATTGAAAGAAACTTTGATCCAATTTAATTTCATTGAAGATAAAGCCCATCGGAGGTTTTGAAAAAATTGTTTTCAGCGAGGGCTGATTGTGTATCAGACTCTTGTGTTCCATCAACATTTGTTTTAAATTTTTAACTGCTGGGTGATATATGGTGACAAAAGGAATTAATGTAAATGATTACGGCTCTGACTTTGAGTTTTCATAAACTACAAAGAGTGTTGTCAGTTTCACTCTTTAGAAGAAGAAGAAAGGAAGCTCTGACAGTAACAGCAGTGTTTTGATGAAGCTATAGCTGTGTAGAGAAACAAACAAATTCTCTTAGATTACCATTACTTTTACTATAATCAGATTAAGTATGCTTCATTCCAGAAAGATTTCTTCACCAGATTGCAGAAAAGTGCGTTTCTGGGAGACTTAAGTTTTAAAAGTTTCCGGGGGGAGCATCCCCTAGACTCCCTAGAGGTTCAGGCCTTCGGCCCTCGATTATACAGTGTACCGGCCTACTCACAAGGCAGTGCCCTTCTACTTCAAAAGTAAATGAAAACCCTGTTTATAACGTACTTACACTATTTCTGCCTGGTGTCCGCCAAGTTTTCTCAGCCTGGACGCTCAAAATGCTGGATCCAACCTAAGGGTATTCCACGTACGTTATGCATTGAGCCTGAAGGAAACCATTCGGTCAGACCGTAGAATTATTGAAAAAAAGTGAACGAAAATGTGAGACATTAACAAGTTCATATGATACTGTAGGAAAATGAAAGAAGAACAAGGAATTAGTTTACCATAAACTTCAAAAAATGTATTTTATTAAATTACCTTTTCAGACTAGAAATATATATTATTACTGATACTTAGCGTTTTTTTTTGTGAACGAAAAAATCTGCCACAGCTCCCATCATCTTCTTCTCCAATGTGGAAACCTCCCCTCCACCCATCCGAAAAAAGAAATAAATCTATTCATGCTCTGATTCCCGATATATTTCAGGGAAACAAATATGCAATGGTAATTGATCTTGTTTGAATGAAGCGATGGCATGCTAATTCTCACGCACTGTTTCAGATTGTTTATCTTGCGTGACATCGATATAAAAAGCAAAATACTGTCCAACTTATTCATTCTGATCTTCCAGGCGTCTTGCAACAGTATCTTAAATTGGGGGCTTTTTTTTCGGTATCCAAATTTTACCTGTTACTCGTGTTGTAACGCAAAGAAACCTTCTCCGCATGCCTGGCCCCTCTCGCCTTTCGCTTGCCGCAGGCTAAGTGTGTTTACAGTTTGTCACGCAGTTTCATGCAAGACCGGCTAACGTTGTTAAACTAGATTCAGTGGTGAAGATAACCGCAGGTGCTTTCCAAGTTGGAAATTTATCATTGAAATTTCATATAAAAAAAAAGAATTTTAGATAGAGTAACCTAAAAACGTAGATCGTGCCTCCTCGCACGAAGCTAAAGCGCGTTTGTCCATGACGTCATACTTTGGCAGTGACGTAGTGTAGACATCCTTCCTAAACTTATTCACTTTTGTCTCCCGAGCTTGCGGAACGAAGTTATAAGGTCCACTCTTCTAACCTACGTATACCGAGGTCTTTTGGTGGTAAGTAGAGCTTCGCTTGAAAATTAAATAAACTAATCAAATTTCATGAATCTTAAATCAGAATTTCAGCGGTGAACATTGACTGCAAACCATGGCTTATGGCAACGTTCGATTTAGTTCGAATCAGAGACCTGTAACAGTTCAGTCCATCGTAGAAAGTTTGATGATAATTCGAAGAAATGTGGCGAATGCACGGTTTTAATGATATAAAATTGCTCAGCCTTTATGGTGACTGACGGCATTTCATTTAACACGCGGTAAGGTGAATAGAAGTAGTTTGAATAATGTTCCAGGGATATGTTTTCAGAGTGTACTTGATAACAAAAGATAATCAATCTGCTCTGTGAGAAAACTCGTGAATTGACAGATGACTTATATGAATTTTTGAATTATGCATCTATCATCGGCCATCCCCTGGGGGGGGACCCCGGGCAAATTCAACGTTGAATGGGGACTTATACGGGGATTTGAACGATTAACTTACCCTGGAGGCGGGGGAAATGAGGGAGGTTTGTTTTCCAAAAGCCTTGCACCGCGGGGAAAACGGGGGACTTTGCAAACGAAACAGGTCAATTTCAAGTTGTCTTAAATGAGCAAACATGAAGACCCCTGTGCAGAAGAACGTGGACCATCTTTCTCCTCGTGTTTGTGATGGCGACCTCGGCGGATGGAGCAGGTATTGTAATGTAAATCCATTTCCATCGTGTTATTTCCGCTATTGCCTTCTTCAGATATGACAATGGCAGACAGTTGACTAATATTAGTCTTTTGTTTTTCCCTTTTGAAGTGAATTGTCGGAAGAAGATGCGGATGCGATGCCTGAGTAATATTGTGATATGTGCTCCACTTGAGCATTATTGAATTTTGATAGGTTTATCATTTATGATATGCTGTCAATAGATCAGAAATGCTCATCAACATTGTTGTAAATATTCGGTTTAAGTCCAAAAAGTCAGCTGAACAGACATCGTGTATTACACTGTATTTTGGTTAACATTTTTTTGTGTAATTGTATTTAGCAGTACACTGAAATTTGCATTGTTACGAACATGTAAGCACTATTAAAACATGACATTTCGTTAAGGGCATAAAGTACTGTTTTCTTGTCAGGTTTCAAGCTGCTCAAGGTGATTGCCCTCAGGGAGGGGAACTTTGATTCCTCTGTGTCCCCACCTAGGAGGGGGAAAATAAGAACTTTGACAGGGTCCTTTACAAAGTCCCCACCCTTGCCCGGGGTCCCCCCCCCAGGGGATGGCCTATGATAGGTGCATTATGTTTAATGTTATCTTGTCTAGGGAATTTTGTGGTTGATTGTCATTTTTAGAGTACGAGCAGTAGTTCAGTGTTCGCTAATGTAGCAAAGAAACAAAGTAACGTTGGGATAAGAAGGCATTACAATTGAAATGATCATGCTATTACATTTGAGAAGGGTGGATGATGTCATGTATTTTATAAATGAGGGTGAAAAGTGAAATTTAATGTCTATCATTGTAAATATTAGAAAATTAAGGCAAGACTGTCTTAATGAAAACATTAATGATTCCCTCTTTAATAAATGAGACAAACGGGAACGTGTTTTGAGTGATATAACTAAGCCTAGACTGCCACCGTCATTTTGGATTTTTGCTTGGGTACATTTTGGTCACGTGCTAGGCAACGTATGATCAAGAACAAGATAGCATTTCATTTCAGGCCTATTTATCAATTTTGTGGTGTATAACTTTCGCATTTTAGAACGTAATATTTATTTTAAATCTTTAAATTGTCTTGAAACTTAAAAGAAAATTATTCTTTAAAAATTCACTGAAAATCGGTAGCCAAAATTATTTGTTTAGTGTTATTTGATTTTCGTGTTAACCTGTAATTTTGTCAGTTTCCGGCATCTTCTGTTGCTTCACATAGAAAAAACACACGATACGAAATGTAATGATCGATTTTGTCCTCAATCTCACGCCATAACAGAAAAAGCTTTTGAACACCTGTAAACTCCGAGCGCTTCGGAGTAAGTGATATTTTTAATGAATCTTTAGATTGTTTTCAAGTTCAAGGATTGTAAATTACAATTTTATGAAAAATGAAGGTTGTTCTCTTATTTCAGTATGAATCCTCGCACGCCTGCCAGTTTCTGGCAGGCGTGTTGAAATTCCTGCGCCGCTTGTTGAAACTAAAACGAAAAAAATAAACTCTTTTAAGATTATCATTGGCTTTTTTTTTTTCACCCCATCACTATTCCTAACAACAAAGGTCGCCATTTCGCTTGTTTATTACTCGCCAAAAATTATCAAATGCACTCAAAAGCCTAAAATCGAAAAAAAGTTTACAGGAATCGACCAATCGAGCGAGCGAGTGCCATTCTCCACATCATATCTACAACTCGCTCTTGCGCATGCGCGCAATTCACGAGTTAAAAATTTTATATCACAGTGATTTTATTCGATGAACTTACGATTGCCTCTCTTAGTGAGTTATACTACTGTTATCAGTACATTTTGGATGTTTCTGAGAGTCCGTTGCAGTCGGACTTTTCAACCACAAACTGCATAACAGAATGAGTAAGTAAAATCGGGAACCCCGCTCAGCAACCCCCGCTCCACTCCCTCGCTTCTCGGGACCGGACTTGAGAAACGGCGGAAATCGACTCTACAAGCGCCCTAACGGTAAACGAACAAACAAATCCTCGCAACTTTAGTACACTCACCCAACAATATATTCCACTGCCGTTCAAAAGTGAACAGTGAAAGGAGATAAATCTGCATAGATTAATAATCGACAGGAGTTTGGCGAAGGGTAAGAGAGGACAAATTTCAAAAACAAACAACTTTCACTATTACTAAGAGAGCCAAACTGAAATAACATCGATCAGTTTCTCTTTGTTTTCATTCGGACCTGACGAGGTAACCGCCCTAGGTAAACTTGTGGGACAATGACTTGTACGTTGTTTTACATACCTTGATTTTATGTGCCAATAATGCATAAAGAACAGTAATAGAAAGCCATTTATTGTAAGATTGCTCCTCTCGTGAGGTACTTTTCTTAATCTGTTACTTCTAACAGAAGATACTCTTTCTAGGAGATGGGTTCAGAGGACATCAAGCTGTTGATATGTGGCAGCGGTAATGGAGCGCACGCATTTGCCGGCATAGCGTCCTCTTTGCAGGGAACTGAAGTTCGTGTGCTTAGCCTGTATCAAGATGAAGCAGAACGTTGGAATACTAACATGCAAATCAAGGATCTTGAAGTTGTCTTGCATCGGAAGGGACAAGATACAACATCTGTTACATCGAAACCTTCGATGGTAACTAAAAACGCTCGGGATGCCATGCGGGATGTGGATATTGTCGTTTTCGTACTTCCAGCGTTTGCGCATCAAGTCTTCCTGGATGCCTTAAAACCCTATATAAAACCTGGCACAGTACTTGTTGGTATGCCGGGAGAGCCAGGTTTTGAATTCCAAGTTCGTCACGTGCTGGGCGAGACAGGACGGCGGTGCACTGTAATGAATTTTGAATCTTTACCATGGGCATGCCGCATTACTGAGTTTGGCGCTAAATGCGAAGTTCTTGGTACCAAGGAGACTCTTCTAGGAGCCGTGAAGGTACGTTTACTTCGCATCATTTGATGATTTAGAAGGGGTCCTCGCGCTTGAAAAGGGAATTGGAAATGTACCAGTCGTACAATGCTTTTGAGTGGAACGTTCTGAGTATACACACAAGCCTCTGGGTGAGTGTGTATTTCAAGAAAATACAGGTGACGAGTGTGATTGACCTTCGCATGCCACGAGAAAGTGTTTCACGACAATTTTATTGAGTCGAACCTGTATCAAGCGGACACCCTCTATTCAAAGTCTTGGATCCTAGATGAATTATGCCTGGCACGCTTCGATATATTGCCAACACAAGACGATGCTCTTAATTTAACAAAATCTCCTTACGGTGGCCTGAGAAATTTTTTTTCTTTAAAAAGAGAAAATTTATGGTTTAAATCGATGACTTAAGCCGAAAAGGGCCGCCAAATTTGCGGAGCGAGCAAGCTGCGATATCTTGAGTTATTCAAAAAACTAGGTTTGATCCGCACATCGTGGAAACTTTGAAGAAAAAATTTATCTCTTCGAAGAGAACATTTTATCCTTTCAAGCAGCGACTATTGCCCAAAGGAGCCGCTACTTTCGAAGCGAGATAGGTCCGAAATACAATACGTTGGGTTCATTAGAGCGACCCTATTTGCCGGAATGATGGAACGGTGGAACGGCGGAATATCCTACAACGCAGAATACCTTGTTGTATGAAACAATTGCCTCACAAAAATTGATCCTTGCGTTTGCGCAAAGATTCATGGGGTCGCCACGGGGCAAATATTGTAAGTTGCTAGAGGGAAATATATAGCGAAAGATTGTTTCGACGCCCTAAAAAAACGATTTTGGCGAGAGGTCAACGCTTTTTCGCCGCGGGTTTTATCGTAAATGGATAAAGATGATGTTGATACGAGGGAAGAGGACGGTTTGTTAAAACTAGCACGACATATGGTATAAAATATACCGATGATAAACTTCTCTCCTAGCGTTAGATTTATTGTGAAATCGTCGTCGCGTAATGGTCTCGAATTGTCACAAAATAACTTTGCTCCTAGAGCCCCTTGGAGGATCTTGTCAGGGAAATCAAGATCACAGGAACTCCGGCAGAAACTGTAGACATATATCAATTGTGTTTCTCGAACTCATAAATTATTCATTACGTGATCATCCAACCAAGAGACGCTAATTTCGTCACGTGTCTGTTGTTTGAAACCCTGGTGAAACACTGAAATGACGCGCTATCCATGAGTTTCATGTAATATCAAACCCTTGAGTTTGATAGAGAATCAAACTCTGGTGAACTCATTTCTTAATTTGAATATCAATACAACAAACTTGCCGACAACATTTGAAAAATTCGTGAATATTTCTATTTCCTTTCATTCCTGAGGCGCGATTGAGAAGCTCTTTCAAAAACTAGTGCATCAGGTTTCATCAGGGTTTCCAAATACTCGAAAAAAATAAAATCACTTGGCCTGCGGCCTCGAGCCTTCATCAGTTTTCTCCGTGATGAAACCTTCGCACTCGTTTTTGAAATAGTACATCACATTTGTGCGTACTCATCGTCGCAGAAGAGAAAATTCACTTTTTAACCGATTACTAACGCTGGTCCGTTCTCATTGATCACTATAAGAAAGCAATGCAGGTGTTAAATAACTTTAGTGTAGAACGATAATATTTAATGCTCAAGCACACCATTTCAATCTACTGCCGCTTCGAGGCGCTCTTTTGAATTACCAAGCCACGAAAAAAGCTAGCAATAGACAAAATACGTCAAAATAACTAGAAAAGCTTTTTTAAGTCATTTCTTGTTGATTTCTTGCTAATATTACTGAACTGCGATACCATTACGCGATTTCAATTTTACAATAAACCTTGCGCACGGACAAAAGTTTACAGTCGGTAGATTTTACTATATATTTCATGGTTGTTCAAACAAAAACTCACACTTCCCTTGTATCAACATTACCCAAATCTATTTCTGATAAACAACAGCGAAATAAGTGATAATCTTCAGAATGGTTTTTTTCGGACATCGAAACAACCTTTCGCCATACATTTCTTTAGAGCGTTTTGCAATGTTCGCCTCGTGGCGATCCCAGAAATCTTTGCACAAACACAAAGATCCGATCGATCACTGGCAACTCATTCATTATTCTCTACATTCTTGAATCATCTTCTGTTGTGGAACAAGGTACTCCTAAATTTGTGGGATGTAGCGTATTTTGTTTTGCAAGTGAGACAAATCTTCTGCAATACCTCCTTCTGGCATCATTATACAACCCCTAGTTCTTTTCAGTGCTATAAAGATTGTGCTTTATCAGGAGCCATATGCAGTCTTAAGCTGCCTATTTTTTTTATTGTGATATACATTCTCAACAGACTGGAGTATCTTTCAGCCCGCGTGCCTTTCATCTGAAGCTCGAAAATCTTAATCTCAGTCGATAGAGAGCGTAGAAAACTTTTTTTACTTTGTTTCTTTGACTAGCATGCGTATTTAAATATTTCAAGTAAAATATTCACACGGACGGATGTACAAGTAAAATATTCACACGGACGGATGTACATGTAAAGTCACGCTGTCATTGCGAAATTTCCACGGCGTCGTTAGTTAACACATTTTCCTACCTGCACTGTAAGCCCACTTTTAACTTTTGGTTTGGTGTTTTGTTTTTAAAGGAAGGAGAGGGTTTGACAGCCAAGAAGGATCCGGTATCAACATTGCAATATCTCCTGGGACCTCTCCCTAAACTGATCGTTTCGGGTCACCTTTTGGGTGTTCAGTTAATGAGTGTTAATGCCTATTTGCACACTTCAATAACTTATGGTCAGTGGGAGGGGTGGGACGGAAAGCCACTGGCTGAAGCACCTTTGTTCTACAATGGCTTGACCAAGTCAGCAGCAAGTATTATCTCCAGTGTCTCTGATGAGGTTGTGAATATTGCTAAGGGTTTTGGAGAGAAAACAGGAGCAGATATGTCTAACGTAAGGCGTTCCACTTTATTTTTTGATTTACAATTTGTGTTACATTCGAGTGGGGGATTTCTCCCCTGACAAGAAACAAAACTGTACCCACGAATTCTCAAACTTTGAGTCCCAATGAAAGACTGAGACAATCGTTCACACGACGCAAACTTACTTCGAATAACTTACGTAAGGTCGTAATTATGTACGTGAAATTTACTTATTTCTCTTCCACATCACATAAGACACACATAACTTTGTTCTCTCACTTTCACGTGACTGCATTACATTAAGATATGACATCTCACGATATGACATCTCACTCTTATTTGTTCTCATCAACGCTCTATACTGTCCACTGCAAAGAACTTCCCAACAAAAGTCTCTCACGGCGCTAAACAGAAACTAGGAAGATAAAGACACACAAAATAACAAATGTAGCAACTGCGAGTGGCATCAGCATTAAATGTCAATAGCTTTAATAACCAACTATTTAATTCCCTGCGTATTTCATCACAATTACTTTTGCAGTGTATTTTTTAATAGGCCTTTTCGAAAACTGCTACTTCTTTTTTGTCAATGTAGTTAACAATTTATCTGCGAGTTTCGCATTAAGATTCGTTAAATCTTTGTCACGGGTATAGATCTGCACTCCATTTTTTTGGGTAATACAGCATATCTTCGTAATATCATAAGGAAGTTTCAGTTTGTACTTTGAAGTTAATTTGCATGACACTTTTATGAGGGCTTCCTTTAATGTGAAGCTTTCTAAGGCCAGAACTTAACCACTAACGTCCCCCTTCTGGTTAACAGCTATCTCTTGCTCGATTAATAGCTCTGTCATAATGTCAACTATTTTAATGCGATCTTGTACAGGTGGAGCACATTTACAATTGGTACATGAGATGTTATCCACAAGACATCTCTGACAAGACCAATCTCTACACAGCAATACAAACTAATGCTGCCTACCAAGGGTTGAAACATCCCGTAAAGAAAACTGAGGATGGAAAATTCCTTCCAGATTTCTCCCATCGTTACATGACGGAGGATATACCGTTTGGCTTGGTTGTCATCCGAGGTATTGCTGAAATCATGGGTATCGAGACACCGAATATCGACAAGGTACTTACATGGAGTCAGCAGCAAATGGGAAAGGAATATCTGGTGGACAAAAAGTTGCAAGGGAAAGATATCAGCACTTCAAGGGCACCACAGAGCTATGGGTTCACTACCATTGAATCCATCCTGTAAACCTGCTTCTTGATATTGTTACCTTAGATTGTATTTTTCATTGTTCAAAAGCCATCACAAGAAATGTTTTTCATGAAAGATAAGAAGAACTGAGGTAGTGATCTGTTTCGATGACAATGATGTAATTTCCAATTAATGCTTCTTCTAAGGTGCATTTTGCGTAAAGAGGGTATGGCTTGTTGAGTTGCAAAAAAATAAACTTTAAAAGACATGTTAACCTTTCCTCGATTTTGTCCCACTATTCGTTTTGATCATCGCCGTTGTATTAAGTCTATTACCACTGAAGATGTTCAGTATTAAACCTTATTGTAGTGTTCAACTTTGTAACTTATTTTTGGTCATTTATGGCTCAGTGTCATAAATCATTGCAGAGGTCTACTTACTCGCCGTTTCAAAAATTTAGTGATAATGTGACCCGACGCGGACGCCACAAAGCTCTTCCTAAACGAATCCGACTACTTTTAGTTTTCTGACCTTGTCACGTTCAAAAAGAAGCCAATAAGAAAGAGAGTTCAAAAGAAAATCATTATTAAAAAATTTATACCTCCTCATAAGGTATAAAACGGATAATGAAAAGAACTTCTTAATCAGACGTTTGTTGAAGGCATTCTGGCTCAAAAGAGTTTCTTTCCTTATAATAGCAAAAATGCAGTTTTTATTGGTGTATAATTGCCTTTTCCTCTCTTGGTGGGTTCACGAAAGGTCAAACACAAACTATCAGGCAAAGGTTATTACTATAAATTACAACATGATGGACATGACAAGATGGTATTCAAGGGACGGACCACATAAGGAAGGATCCAGTTCATGGTTAACTTGATATCCAATTGTATATTTAGGTTTTCCTTTATTAGCTATATTTCTTTTGTAGAAGAAAATGCCGGAGCACACGTTATGCTATTTCTAAAACCGATAGGAACAATAATAATTTCGGAATCTTTTCACAACGCACAAAGAACAAACGTTTCGGGGCCTGGGGCGGATCCAGGGGTGGTTCGGGTGGTTCGGTCGAACCTCCTAAACCGAAAGAGAAAACATTCTAACTTGTGCGGTTTCTGAGGAAAAAACACAAGTGAACGAAAAAAAATGCTAGTCTAACATTCGTTTTATGTAAGCGCTTCCTTTTTAAGTTGTCTACTTGGTAAAATAACAGGCTTGTTATCCACTCTACTTGCACCCAAAGTGGTCATTTTCGGAAATTATTAAATTACGGTCCCGCTCTCAATGAGCTTATCAGCGTGCAGTAATCTGTGATTAGTTAATAATTATATATCTATAATTAGTTGTAGCGTCAAGATACACAAGCCCTATTGCGTAAATTACTGTACAACACCATTTGTTCAAGTTATCTATGTACCGAACAACATTATATTTGTACGAGTTATTATACGTAAATAGTGTTACGCAAGATTTACTGTTTAAATGAAAGAATTAAAGAGTGTTATAGATCTTTCTTGAAACTGGAAGAGTTACAGTATTCAAGTGTACTATCTCGTCAAGAAGTGGTTGTACGACTGTCAGCAGCGCTCAATTAAGAATTACTTTTCCCAAAGGAGTCAGTGTTCTATTTGAATTCGGTCGAGTTATGTCCAAAAGGGGGGAAGCAACAGGAAATTAATCGTTTTTTCAGTCCACCGCCTTCTTATACGTCTTTAGGAAGGTAAGCATGCTAGTCGTGAATTTAGTGTGGTTCAGTTCAGTTCAAAGCTGGGAAAGGAACCAAGCGCTCCAAGAACGGCGTCAAGACAACAGCGTGGGGTAAATGCACCCCATGACACACCTGAGGAATATTACCGCCACAATCCGTTCATTCCATTCCTTGACTAAATCACACAAGAAATGTCTTCAAGGTAATCTCTTTAAATTATCAAACACTCGACTGTTTACTTAACCTTAAATATTTACAGATATAATGAACGATTGAACAAATAGGCTTATTCATTACAGGGATTTTTTTTCAGATTTGGGTCCACTCAGAAGACCTCCGTGCAATTGCTTGGTCTTGTGCTAATCGCCATTGTAGGGGGCACAAATGTAGACATAGCTGAGGTTTCCAAGATGTATATGTCAGATCTCCCAAGCCCACAACCTCTCGACATTGAATATGATCGTTGGATGAGAAAATGGCAAATCCGAGACGGACAAACCAGACGCGCTTCAACCTGTCTTGCAGGTTCGAAGTAACTCAATATGTTTTTGTTCAAATTTCCCTTAGCTTAACAAATTACGACTTTATTGATTACACTTTCTCTCTATCAACAGGCTTGTGATTCCGACATAGAGTTGTAGAGCATCGAAACTAGTCATGGGCTACCTACGGACCGCGATGACAATCGAGAGACTCTCTGGGCCGGTTCTAATGACTATTCATTGTGAAAAGCCAGTCGATTACAATGCTGTGGTTCAGAAAAATGCCGAACAACAACCTTGTAGAATACTACTCGTTGATCCCATTTTTGAGGAATCTTAGGCGTGACACTTTTTAGAACAAATTAAGTAGCGAAGACAAATGTATTACAGTGATTTTAGTTTCATTTTTAAGGAGTCAGTTGATCTTAGTTATTGTAAAGACTTAAACGTAGTCTTTGTTTAATAAAACAGCTTTAAAAAGAGATGATTTTTTAAGTATTAAACCGTGCACCATCATCCCTCAAAACGCTGGAAGTCGCATTTCCGAGGACTTAAATTTCAAAATTTCCCGGGGGAGCATGCCTCCGGACCCCCCCCGATGGGCCCGTTTGTTCGAACCCCCCCAGATCCTAGATCCGCCCTTAGGAGCTTCTATGCTGGTTATTGCTTCAATGAAGTTATTTAAAGAGCTGCTGTAATTTCGTTGTAACTTACACCAATGTAGAGAGATCCCACAGATAATAAGCTTGATGTTGCGTAAGATGGAAAGGCAGCCGTATTAATTTTCGTAGAATATGAATTCATTGCAAGAGACTTTGATGCGGTTATGGTTTATGTGATTTCTAAGTATTTTTCATCTAAACATTTTTTAACCTTCCAATATTACCTGAACACTTTTTAATTTACTGGAGCTGTTGCTTTGTGTTTAGTCATGTGAAATTTCTCCGAGCTAGAATCAATAGGACACCTTTTTCAAGTTCGAATTTTAAGTTTAGTGCAATAAGTATTGAAAAATATAACCCTGCATAGCCAATTTTTCCACAGACGGTTTTGTTTCAGTGAGAAAACTTGCAACCACTCTGGAAATTCAAGTTCGAATTTCAAATTTAGTGCAATAAGTATTGAAAAATATAACCCTGCGTAGCCAATTTTTCCACAGACGGTTTTGTTCAGTGAGAAAACTTGCAACCACTCTGGAAATTCATTAGAACAATAAGCACAAAAACATAACAACTAGAAGAAGGTGAATAGCTTATCATGTTCGAGCAGAGTGAGATGACTTTTCCTCGGTGTAAAGTTTCCTTAAAAGAAATAGGTTTTGAGAAGAGTACATTTGGTATGCTTAGCAAATATCAGCCACATCCAACACGGCGGATAATTTTCGGTGCATAGTCGTAAATCTTTTTTCCAAGTTTTTAACAAAAGTTTAAAACTATTTGTAAAAGATAATGGAGCAACTTCTTTTTAACGGAATGCTAACCATGTTTTAAAAAAAGTTATTTAAATTGGAATTTTTCTTTGATCGTTTGACTCTCTGATTCACGTTCCGTTCGAAGCCAGGGTCCCTGATGACGCCAGGATTAACTCCTTACTTAGTTTGTTCTCGGTAAAACAGAGAATTAAAGTGGTTTTTAATTGTGAAAGTTAAATTTTGAAATTTTGGAGTTCTCCTGGTCTCTTGTTCGTTCCGAGACAATCCAAATGTGAAACTGACTTGTGCAGCCATGGCTAAATTACGTTTAAGAAATGTGGGTAGTGCCTCGGCATAGGAGCCTTTTTTAGCGACTGAAGTGAACGTGAATCGGATAGACAAAGAGATAAGGTGGTCTTCTTGGAAACAGACTTGAAGAAAAACATACTTCATAGTTAGCTAAGATAAATAAGGAGCTTTTCGCTGAGATGAGAGACAATTTCTGCTTGAATTAACTTCAATCGAAATATCTTTGGAAAGAAAATCTGAAATTGTCATAACACCTGAAAAAATGTTTGACGTTATGCATGGGGCCCAGCGACACAAAATTTCTCGGATGCCTAACGTCTACCAAAAGAGAAAGATGTTTTTTCTTCTTGTCTTGCGTGGGACAAAGAGTCCGCATGACGAATCGAGCTTCAGACCTTCGGATCCCGCGCTTCGATGCTCTACAACTCTAGCCGTTTTCAGAGGGTGGGTCTGACCTGGTGGGACGAAAAAATTGGGCGCGTGGGTGTGTTATGAAATGTGAAAGCTTAAATTCAGGGATCTAGCCGGATAAGAAAATTTCAAATTTATACGCGATGGTGTATAAATATTTATATGTTTAAAGGCCTTCAGCTCTCCTAACATTACTGAAAAAAAAAATGGAAAGCGAACATAACCATTTCGTCAAGCCGGTGGCCATTTCTTCTGTGGATGTAACCTGAAGCAAACAATATTAGCGCAGGGTGCGATGAGTAATGGGGCTCTTAAAATCTCAGGGAGGTATGGTGGTGTTTTGTTCCGAAATATATTAAAAACGTGTACTTCCTATTTTAGCATCGGCCTGCCACCAATTTAAGTCAGCGAGAAAATCAGTTCTCAAGTAAAGTGGGCTCGTGCAATCGTTTGAGTTGAGACAGGTTTTTAAGGCAGGGGTACAAAGGGACTGTAAATGAGACTTTAATCTATAACTTACAATCCTCGGGTAAGTCATGGCTGACGGCTTAGGTACCAACTTCTGCTTACACGAGAAGAAAAGGCGTGGAAATATGTTTCAAAGCCTTCTGGTAATCCATTGTTGCTTCAGCTGATACGAGCCGTTCGGTGTATTAATTCATAACTGAGTTTTTTATACCTTTCACTCAAAATGACTCCATTCACTTGAAAAATAAATACAGGAAACGCATCAAGTGGCAAAAAAACCCATTCAAGCTGAAAAAGA